CTCCTGATACTCCGGATCCAACAGACACACACACACAGCCGGCCTGACTTGTGCTGCATTTGTCCCAGTCCTGCTCATCACCCCCAAGGAATGCTGGGTCACTGGGACCAGTTTCTCATTGCAATAATCCAAGTTCAGGTTTTCTCCATAGAACACTGTTTATTCTGATGAAGCCTGGTTCCTGATTTGCAAATTGATTCTAACACGAATAAGTTGTCTTTGCTTTGATTTCGGCTTCATTTGCAATATCTTAGTTTGACCAAGTCATGGAAATCCCTATTTTTTCGAAGAATTTTTTGATGCAGGTGGTCTTGAAGTGCACTTTGAGGAAAACTGCTTACGTGGTGACTGTGTCCCCTTGAGTTTGCCCTTGTTGGGTGCAGTGGGGAACATCCTGCTAATACTGAAATACCAGGGCCGCTGCTGTGACGCCAAAGGGTGTCTACTTCCTGTCCAACTCCCTGATCATGGCCTGGGGACAGTAAAGGAGGATGGATGGCCCAAGTGTTGGCCCCAGTCACACAAACGGAGACCAGAAGAAGCTGGGCCTAGTTCTTTTCACTGTGACCAACTGGGAGAGTGAACATAAGAAACCGATCTTTAAAAAACTGAGATACTGAGGCAGGTGGTTTGAAGAAAAAGGAGAGAATGATGCATTAATTCAGCATAATCAATGAGCATCTCTTCGGACCAGGAGGTCTTTCTGGAAACTGCAGGAACGAAGGATGGCAAGGAGCCAGGTCCTGGGAAGCATCAGCCAGCTCCCTCCCGCCCTGCCTGAGTTTGGGCTAGGAGTCACCTCTATGGGATGGTGCTCCACTGTATGCCGGAGAAAGAGAGCCTGCTGGGAGTTGGAGTTGTCCCTGCTAGGAGCCACTATCTTCTCAGCTTATCTAAAACAAGATAACTGCAAAGCAGTTTCCTGCCAGCCCTTCTCTGGCAAAGCAGGTGAGACAAAAAGGATGGCTTCACTCCTGCTGGGCCCTGCAGGTTCAAGGGGAAGCTGCTCCTTTCTGACCACTCCTCCCAGCAGATGCAGCTGGCTTCTGTGAGGGAGGGAGGCCAGTACACAGGGCTGCAGGCAGGCCCAGGCAGAGGGCTGGCCTGCCCCATCTCAGTCCCTCTGCTAGAGCCAGTCACCCAGCAGAGGTCTGAAGCTGCCCTCTTCTGTTCTCAGCTAAGTACTGCAGCTGGTGAACCCCAGAAAACCAGAGGGTGCAAGACTGACAAGGCAGAGAAATGGGCTCATGGAAACAATCCTGGGCCAGGCTGCGAAGGAACACCCGGCACCCCCAGAACACGCAAGGCGGGTGATCGTGCCCCCATCTGTGCTCCCCAGTTGGGTGCCACTGGGTGCTCCACGAGCCTGCACCTGCATCCTGGGTGCTCCCTGCATCACCGTGCACCTTACACTGCTGGTCAACAATGCCAGCTCACCTGTGGTTCACCAGGTCAACTCAGCCTCAAAGGCAAGTGAGGAGCCCCCTGGTCTTTGCGTACAAACAAATGCTGGCAGTTAGAAATGGAGGATTCGTCAGTTGAGGTAAATCTTTAAAAAAGCAGGGGAGGGGAAAGTGGCATGGTAGCATAGCAAACTAATCCTCTACCTGCAGCATTGGCATCCCATATGGGCACTGGTTCTTGTCCCAGCTGCTCCACTTCCCATCCAGCTCCCTGCCTGTGGCCTGGGAAAATAGCAGAGGATGGCCCAGAGCCTTGGGAACCTGCACCTGCGTGGGAGACCCAGAACAACTCCTGGCTTCAGATAGGTTCAGCTTTGGTTGTTGTGGCCACTCGGGAAGCAGATGGAAAAACTGTGTCTCCTTTGTAAAATCCGCCTTTCCAATAAAACAAATTTTACCTTTAGTATTGCTTTTTTTCTTGTTAATAATGAAATTCATCTGTCTGATCTCCATGTGGAAAGCTCTCCTACTCACCAGCAACAGCAGGCCCTAGCTCTGGGAAGAGAATGGGGACTGGCTAGTTGCTAAGTCTGAGGTTGTTGGGCACAGCATGGGCAGCGAGTGCACGGATCACTTCCAGGATCTGGGTGGGGCCGATGAAGAAGGAGGAAGACGCCTTGGCTTGGAAGTTGGCTGTCCAGGGCTTGGAAGGTCTGGCGTCTGATGGAGGTCAACAGTGGCTGAGCAGGCTGGGGGAGACAGGTGCATGGTGAGCCAAGATGCAGAGCCAGCACAGGGCGCATGCTGGGCATATCCAGCTGGCCCCAACCCCAGAGCTGCCTACCCCAGTGACCTGGAGCCCCACACCAGGCCCACCTGAGATGGGTCAAGACTCCATTCGCTCACTCATGTTGATCCGTTCCATTAGTTGGCAGCCTGTCCTTACAGTTCAGATATCTACATTGGGGCAAGTGTTTCGTCATAGCCAGAAAAGCCACCCTCTGTGGTGCCAGCAACCCTAATGGGCACCAGCTTATGTTCAGGCTGCTCCACTTCTAATCTAGTTAATGTGCCCGGGAAAGCAGAAGATGGCTCAGGTACTTGGGCCTCTGTTACCCTTGCGGGAGACCCAGAGGAAGATCCTAGTTTCTGACATTAACTTTCAAATAACTTTTTATATTTACTATATTTAAAGGACAAAGTTAGAGAAAATCTTCAATCTGCTGTTCACTCCCCTGATGGCCCCAATAACTGGGGCTGGGCTAATGCCAAGGAACTTGGCTGCTAAGAAAAACTTGCTCCAGGCCAAAGAGCAGATCTAGAAATGGAGATGAATGAACCCCTTACAGATGGTTTTAAGTGGAAGAGTTTGTCCATCTGTGTGCCAGGACATCAGGCCACGCGTGTGGTTGCCATGGGACAGGCAGCCAAACCAAGGGCTGAGGCAGTGAGAAGGCAGCTTCTTCCAGGGCTCAAGGTCATATCTGCAGTAACACATGGCAAGCAGCACTCGTGATGGCTTTGATCTAGGGCTCTCCACGGGCTACCCTGTGCAATCCCACCCAGCCCTCTGAGATGGGAGCCCTTGCCGTGCCTCTTCCGCAAAATGCAGATATGGGTGTGCATGCATCCGTTGTGTCAGTCAGTACACAGGGCTGCTCGACGGTGGGCGCAAGCAGAAGATCCTGCAGGGCTGAGGAAGCAAAGGCTTGGGTCCTGCTCACACTGTGGTCTGCTGTCAGACTGCTGGCCCTCCCGCACTGGTGAAGCGTCCCTCTTTGCCACCAGCTCCTTGTCATGGCTCAGCATCCCAGCTGCCTGCCCTGCACAGAGGCAGGACATCTGGGGACCAATGGACATGGAGTGCACATGCCCTGATTCTGCCAGTTTCATTCAGCACAGCAGCTCATCCCGATAGGACACTGGGTCCCCCAGACTTCCCCAGTCAGCTAGGGCCTGCTTCTGGTCAGAACTACGTGGAGGCCAGCAGCCACTCCAGGAAGGTTCTGCACTACCCCCTCCTTCTCCACCTGCCTTCTTTGGCTTCCTTCCCGGAGTGTGGAATGCATCCACGACAAGCAGCTCCCAAAGGTGGTGGATGCGATGGTGATGGCTTTGTGTGAGCTGTGACCCGCCTCACCTGAGACCACCTGCTGAGGGGCAGCCATGAGCTAAAAGTATGCAGTGAACCAGCCCTCTGCTTCCTGTTGGCCAGTGGCAAGCTCCAGGAGAATCCCAGCCTCCTGCCAACCCCACCCCACCCCAATTTTGCTGCCCAATCTGTTTTACTCCCATGGCACCTGTGGACCCAGGACGGGTTTGATAGCAGCCTCCTCTCGGGCTGCTTCTGGTGGTCACCATCCTCTTCTTGGTTTCCCTAATCCTACCCAGATCTAGGCCAATGGCTGCTTGGTTCACTTTCAGGTTAACCCTGCCAGCTGCCATCTGTGTGCTGCCGACAGCGAGCTGCAGGCTCTGCTTCCCATTGTGGCCGTTCTCCTGGGAAGCACTTGGGGCCTGTGGCTGCCACCTCTGGTTATGAGTCAGCTCTGCACAAGGAACTCCCACAGAGGATTCCGTGTTGGGTGGGCTGAATTTCAAGTCTGAGTTTTACTCCCTGCAGGAGCTCATTTCCTCAAAATTACCCTGCTGCTAATGCTCAGTTTCTGCACCTGCTATCAGGGGAGTAGCACCTATGCCTCCTAGGACTGCTCTGAGGATGATAGGACTAATAACAGCGTTGTTAGACTTAGCACCAACTTTAAGTACAGGATGCCCTGGTACATCTGAAACAGTTTAGCAATGAATATTTTTTAAGGGTTCAATGTAAATGCAGTATTTGGGATACATCTGTACTAAAAATTACATGTTATATGTGTAAGGGCTATCAAAAAGATCACGAGGAAATGTATCAAAATAATATGTATAAAATATATATTTTTAAAAAATTTGAAGGGCAGAGCAACAGAGAACCTTCTATCCATTAGCTTAATTCCTAAATGGCCACGATGGTTGGTACTGGGTCAAACGGAAGCCAGAAGCCAGACATTCCATCCAGGTACCCCACATAGGTGGTAGGGGCCCGAATGTGTTTCTAGAATTTGTTTTGGGGTAGCCCTAGCTTCAGATATTAGAGACTGACATTTCGTTTCCTCTTCCTAACTGAATGGTAAACCCTTGGGACAGAGATGTCTTCATGGGATTGCTGACTTGGGCCTTCTGTTTCCCGCCCCACAGCAATGCTTGAATTCACCTGGTAATTTACTCGGCTGGCTGGGAATGTAGTTCAACATCTGACTGTATGTGAATCCTCTCTTGAAGTCAGCAGCATTAGAAACCCCACAGACGACCAGGAGTCCAAGGCAGGGGTAGGGGTGTTCGGGATGTCACCTGGTCCAACGGGTTCTGCTGCCAAGCGAAGCTCAGACTCCAGAGGAGAGGGATGTAGCCCAGCCAGTGTCATGGCGGGACATGAGGGAATGCAGCAAGCCTGGGGTTCTGCCCATCTCCCCTGAAGGAGATGCTTAAAACTAAGAGGGCCCCACGAAAATCCCCTGCCCCCACTGGCCCACATCACACAAAGTCAGTGATCCACAATGAAGAGAAAAGATATTTAATTATTTCTCAGTCTAATCTCTTAAAGCGCTCAAAGTGTTTTCACAAGTGCAAGGGAGAGGGATTGTACTCAGCCAACATTTACCAGTGATCCCGACACACGCAAAGAAATGCCCAACCACCGTGCTTTATACTTACTTTAATTTCTGCACTGAAAAAGAAAGGTAAAACGGTAACAGATTAGGTTACAGCGACATTATCTTTGCCCTTAAATTAATCTTTGCTGTTGGGGGCCAAAGCAGAGAGAAAGACAGGAAAACACCAAAGCATGATGAGTGGTTGCCAGGATACCTCAGTCCGGCTAACAGGGGCTCTGAATGCTGGGGCCCGTGCCGCCAGTACACCAGCTTGTAAACACCGACGGGCAACAGCTAAGTTACATTAAAAAAAGGAAAAAAAAAAATTCCCACAACTCCATTATTAAAACCAAGCACAAAACCGGACAATGAAACTTCATCCAGGGTGATGCGTTCGTCCCCAGGGGTCTGGAGGCGGCTTCCTGGGGGCATCTGCCTGCTGTGACATGCACACGCCAGGGAAGAGCCGGACACGGGCTCGACAGTGCTCCCTTCTCACCAGAACAGCACTGTGCTGCAGCTAGCAGGTGGGAGCCACGGCTCGCTCATCTGTACAACCTCCCTATGGGTAGCGAGTGCCACAGCGGAAGGCAGGGGGCCTGGGGTCTCTGGCTGTGCTTCTGAGGCTGTGCCTCTGGAATGTTCCACATCCTCAAGGTCTGGTTGGGCTGTGGGTTTAGTTACGCTCCACACTTTGTTCAAGTGCTTGCTTTATTTTCCATGTGCAAACAGTCACTGTCTAAAGCTTTCAGAAGGATGTGTACAGACACGAGCTCCCTGCAGACACGGGGTACTCACGGAGGGGCTCCCCACGCTGGGGCGGGGCGGGGACTGTTACAGAGACAGTTAGAGAAATCTGACGGGCTGCAGTGAAACGCTAGTCCCTGATTCGGTCGGGCAGAGGCCGGGCTCCTCAGTAGGTGATTGTCCACTCCTTGACAGAGGCGTCATGCGAGGTCGTGACCAGGGTGTGCTCGTCCAGCCAGGCCAGGCTGCTCACATGGTGTAGTCGGTGTGCATCTGGGAGAAGGGCAGTGTTTAAGCAGACAGACTTCCCTGCCTCTCGGCCTCTGCCTACCAGGTGCCGGACATCTCTCTCCACTCCTGACAACCTCTAGTGTCATCTCCCCAGTGGCAGACGAAGCATGGTCTACTTGTGGTATTAACACCAAAGGGTGGCACCGAGCAAGGTGCTGGCCAGGGCTCTGCCCCAGACGGTGCCTGTAGCCTAGAGACTCCATCATAACCAGGGCCAGGCCTGTGCACCTGTAGCTTTTTGTGTAGCCACTATTTCCGTGAAGTCCAGGGAGGGGCCCTTAGCTCCAGGGAGGGCCGGCTGTCTGTGTGTCTAGCCTTATGCCAAGAAGCCCAGCATGCTGAGAGCCACAGCATTGGGGTGTCACCAATGCCAACCCTGACTACAAGGCAGAATTTAGTGCTGCATCCCCAGGTGAGAACTCACCCAAGTGCACCTGGGTGGACCATGGCCAACCATGGGTCAGGTACTCCCCAACCCCCTAATCTAGCAGACCTGTACCCCACCTCCAGCCCAGCACGTGTTCCATCTTGGTGCTAATCTGCTGCATTCATGAACCTGCCAGATCTCACTGCACTAGGTATCTCCCTTATCAGAACAGCTCATGAGATCTGCATCTCTGCTCCTCCCAGCACCAGGTGCCCACCCTCTCCTGAAACTTGGGAACTGCCAGAGTGATGGACTCAGAACTGCTTTTAAATAGGAAACGGTCCCATTTACATCTCACACAAAAGGCAGCCAGATCAAGAGGAGCAGCAGCAGTAGAGAGTCTGAATGCTCACCCAGAGCCACAGCCACAGGACATGTGGGGAACGGGCTACTGGCCAAGGGTTTCTTATCTCAAACACTGGGGACTAAGTGCCTCAACTTCACAGGCTGGGGATCCCTGCTTTGAAAATCCAAAACTGGAAAAGCTCCAACAGCTGCAACTGACTGGGGACCTTCACCCTCTGCCCCATGAGGAAATGGTAACAATATCGCTGCAGGAGTAGCTGCAACAGCTATGGCCCACACTGAAGTACCTGGGTTCGATTCCTGGCTCTGCTGACTGCGGCTTCCCTCCAGCACAGATGCTAGGAGGCCCCTGCCAGCCATGTGTGGGACCAGTCTGCAGCCTGGTTCAGCCACAAAGCATGTGGGAACTGAACCAGCAGATGGGAGCTCCACTATTCAAAAGGGACTTTAATAATTTCACCTGGTGCTTTTTACAATATGGCGACTAGCAAACTCAACACCCACACGAGGTTCCACACTGTCCTCTTGGATGCCCCTGTGCCAGGGAGGAAAGCCAGTCAGCCACAGGCTGAGATGCCAGGTAGGCGACCCTTTCCATGGCACCTGTTTTGTGTACTGACAATGATGAGCCTGTGGTTCCTCTGCTGGCATGAGAATTGACACCCCCTATGCTTGTCACTGTCCTAGACGCCCTGGGGACAGCCAGCACTCAGAGTCCTGGACTCACCTTGGATCTTGACTCTGGTCTCGGGGTCACTCAGGGTCCAGACGTAAACCATCATGTCCATGCCCCCAGAGGCAAAGTGCTCATTGTCTGGTGACCAGGCCAGGCAGACGATTTTTGCGTGGTGCCCATAGAAAACATTGTTCTCCTGGTTGCAGGATGAAAGCAGCAGGGAGGTCAGAACTTAGGCCAGAGTCACCGTCTGTCCACTCCTCACCCCTTCTTGTGACAGCGATGTGGGTCCCTGCTCACCAGGCGCCAACTCTACACTTCCCTTACGAGCTCACCGACTCCTGGTGAGCATCCCAGGATACCCACTGTTCGAGAGGACAAGAGAACAGGCAGAAAGGCACAGCCCAGGACCCTGCAGCTGTGCTGCCTCCCACTGGCACCTGCCTGGCCCATACAGGATGAAGGGGCAGCCGAACACTTACCGAGTAGCCATCGGCCACGCTAAACACCGTGACGACCTTGCTGGCATCACACACAGCAAGGAAGGCGCCATCGTGGGAATAGGCCACATCCGTCACAGGGCCCTTGGCCTCCAGGAGCTTGCCCTCGTCCTTCAGCGTGGTGCCCAGGATGCTGTACACACGGACATTGCCGTCCTGCAGGTGGGCAGGGAAGAGCCACTCTCATACATGCACTCATGATGACACCTCAGGTTTTAGCGGGGGAGAAGGCTGGAGAGTCAGCAGAAAGGTGCCTCTCCTTTACCTGCTCTGGCGTGCCCCAGCCCCAGGAGTGGGCAGCTCCTTTCTCTAGCACAGAAGGCACTGCAAGCCCCCACAGCTCTCCTGGCCCGACAGCTCCTCCTGACAAGCTTGTGTCATTAGGCTATGTTTGGATGCTGCTCCAGAAGGGCTCATGGCTGTTACCAGCGGATCTTAGAGCTCATAAATGCCAGCCACTGCTCTGGAACCCCAAAGTACAAAAGCAGCTGCAACTGGCCACAGCAACTGCACAGAATCCCAAAGGGCCAAACATACCAGCAGTTGGTGGCAGCAGTGCCAGGGGTGTGGCCTGACCCCAGTGGAAGCACTGCAGGATGACACTGCCTAGTGGACCCACAGCCTGAGGCAGCAGGCCCCGGGCACAGCTTTTGAGGCTAGAGCTGGGACAATCTGGAGGGTGTGCTGAGGGGAGCCTGTCAGAGTTCATGCTACTGTTTGCACTAATGTTTCCTGAGCCTGGCACCAAGCGAAGACAGGTTCTCGTGGGTGCACAGCTGGCTCTGTGCCGGCTAGCTGGACCTGGAGTCTGGCCAGCTCGGGGTGAACAGGCTGGCAGGTACCTGCTTCCCTTAGGAGTTAAGGGCAGGCCACTTACTGGACTGCCCTCCTAGGGCTAAGAGGAAAATACGGGGTGTCCGTATCAGGACCTTTTGACGGTGCCACTCCTAACCCACAAGCTCTGGCTACTAAAGGGTGTGAGTTACTTGGTGGACAGATGGAAGCCAGAATGACAGAAAAACCAGGTCAACGAGTTTCTCAGCAGTGCCCCACCAGGCACCCAGCACCTTGGGATGCTGGCCTCGCCCGACGTGCTTCTCTTGTAGTACCCGGGGAGCTCAGGCTTCCCCAAGGCAGGGGACACCTTGGCTATGACATTACAGACCAGGCCGCTCTCAGCACCCAGCAGCAGCTGCTCACGCAACAGCTGCAGCACACCCACCCCCTCCCCGCCGGCTCACTCCCCCTTTGCCCATCCCAGGGGCTCCAGTTGGAGGCCACAGGTCTCCATCTCTAGTACCACTGCCTGCCCTGCTGCAGTGGTCTCACTAAAGAGCTGGGGTCCTTGTGGGGGTCAGGGGGCCAGGCCGACAGGCCACCACAAAAGGCTCACACCCTGGCCAGTAGGCTTGAGAGCCATTTCCTCGCAGCCCTAGGCCTTACTGTCACACTCTGAAGGCTTGGATAGGAGGAAGGAGGGCATGAGGGAAAGGAAAGGGCCTTACCGCGCCCCCAACAGCCACTGAATCACCGCTGGGGTGCACTGCCACGACCTCGGGCTCGTAGTCAAGGTTGTTGAGGCTGAAGCACTTCTTCTGGTCCTTCAGGAGCACCACCTGCAGGACATGGGCAGCTGGTCAGGGCACAGCCCTGGAGGTCCTGTGGCATGCGGCTGTGGGCAGCAGCTGCTGCTTCCCTCATCAGCCAAGTGGGTCAGTTACAGGCCCTCCTGCTCAGTGTCTCAACAAAAGGTCTGTGGTCATCACCAGACCCGAGTTCTAGAAGAGTCTCCTGAGGTTCTATGGCTGTCCAGACACAGTACATAAAATGGACTCAGATGAACTCAGTGCTCCCCAAGAGGACAGAAGGCTGGGATGCAACACAGCTCTAGTGCAGCTGTGGAAGTGCTGTGACATGCTCCTCACTGCAAGCAGCAGCCAGGGCTCCTGGGTAGCCTCGTTTGGCACTGGGACTGAGTGCCTATGGGACTGAGAACACACTGGGGACTCGGTGCTGAGCACCTGCTCCTAGTACTGGCAGTTCAGCAGCACCAATGCAACTCCTGAGTCCACAGAAGCTCTTTGCTCTCCCGCCTGAGCAAGACCAGTCCGAGGATGGAGGAGTGGCCTGGCGGCCTTGCAGCAGGAAGCGGGCTGCTCTCCACCTCCTAACCTGGGCACGCAGTGTGGATTCCCCTGCTCTACCATCGCAACACCAGCCCAGCGCAGGAGTCCAGGACCTGAGGCAGAGCTGACCCCAGCCACCCAGTGTTGGAGGGCGAGTTCACAAATCATCTTGGCCTGTTTCCCAGATGGAGTTCATGAGATTGGGACTCCAGGCTCGGGGCAAACAGGGCTCAGTGACTGTACACAAAGTACATCTGTGTCCACTAGTGGCACGGATCTTGCTCCAAGTGCTCCGGGCCTACAGAGAGGTCAGCGGCCTCACTGTATGGATGGAAATGGGAAAGAGCTCGCACTGCAGCAAAACCATGCCCGTCAAGAGTCCTAGAGGTCCTGGGACCTTCCCCCCTGCTGAGGGTCCCTGTCGGGCACTGGGTGGAGCTGCAACCTCCTCGGTGATTCTTGAACAGTGACAGGCTGGTGACTATGACTTTACCTGAGAAGACACCAGGTTGCCGAGCAGCGAGGGGGAAGGGCTGGCCCTGCCAGCAGAAGCCAGGAGCTCCCCACTGCACACCTTGGCCCACACTGCCCCCCGCCCCACTGGGGCGCCTACCCCTTGGGGTTTTTGTGCCCTACTGGTCATCCAGGCTGTGGTGATAATGACTTGGCAGGGAATTCTCATTATCTAGGACACTCAGCAATCCAGTCTGGCCAGAGCAGTCCCGTTCTGAGAGCGCAGAGGGGCAGGCTGGGCCTGAAGGGCAGCTCTCTGTGGCAGGCTTGGACGCTCCGCCAGTGGGGGCTCAGCCACCACCTGCCTTCCCTGATCTACACGCTGGGAGGCCCACGTCTGCAGGCAGACGGCCTCTGCTACCGAGAAGTCTGTTCAAAGTGGGTCACCGGGCATCCCAGGCAAGGGTCCTTTATCCCAGAAATTCTGACAGGAACAGTGTGTGGGAGACTCCCAGCGGGCATGAGCCCCAGCTGTGGAGTTAGAGCAGACCCACCCCGCAGGCTGGGCCAGCTTACTTACTGTCTGGTGGCCTGGACAATGAGTGCCACCAGAGCCCCTAGCCCGACCTTCCTTGTTTTTAAGAAGAACTGAAGATGGCGTGAGGGGCCCAACGGGCTCCTGAGTGTTAGGGACGAGGAAGGCAGAACTTGGCGGGGGTGAGGAGTCACATGGCCAAAGGGTGGCAGGCCTGGGATCTGAATAGGAGTGGAATCGCGGCTCAGTGGAACCCCCTGCAGATGCTCAGTGTGGTCAGATGCCAGGGACACCTCAGTGCTGACCCATTAGCCAGACTCCAGGTACCTCTATGTCCTCGTCTGCAGAACAGGGATATGCACTGCCCACCTAGCAGGAATCAGGGAGAACCTTGGCACACCACAAACAAGTGCCCACCCTAAACACTGATGAGGGGCCAGCACAGTGGCACAGTAGCTGGGCGGCTGCCTATGGCACTGGCCTTCAGTGTGAAGGCAGGTTCCAGCCTAGCTGTTCCACTTCCAATCCAGCTCCCTGCTAAGTGTCAGGAAAGGTAGCAGAGAATGTTTCAAGTACTTAAGTCCAGCACCCATGTGGGAGACCTGGATGGAGTTTTTGGCTTCTAATTTCCATCTTGCTTAGATCTGGAAGAGATAACTTCCTTCAAATAAAACAAGTAAACTTAAACCAAACCAATAAAGCAAAATCAAGCCAAACCGAACCACCGCTGAGAGCCACTGTCAAGTGGGAACCGTACACTCTGGATATAGACGGCCATGGTTGCAAGCTCTGATCCCTTTCTCCTCTGTTCTTTCTAGCCCAGCTTTCGCGGGATCCATACCTGCCCAATGCACACGACCACAGCATATCCCCCAGGGCCAACAGCTACACACTTTGGTTGGACATCCAGTTTCACAACTCCTTGGCCACTGTGTGAGAGAAAGATAAAACCTTACCTTAGTACTTAGTTCTGTGAGCAGGTACCCACAGTGCACTTACTGCAAAGCCACAACCACTCAGGTCTTAGGAGGAAGTACTCTATACTCAAGAACAATTTACTAAAATATGGACTTGGTATAGGAATGACTCATCACCCAGGGCAGAGGTCAGAACACAACAGGTGCCTGGGCGGAGCAAGTGGGTGCCAGGGGAAGTGCAGAGGACAGCTTCTGTGAGGAGTGCCCGCCACACCACCATTCCACCCTCTTGTGGCTTCTTCCCCACGTGTGCTGCGCAAAGCCTCCTGCCAAGTTATGGCCATCCTTCTTGCAAGGTTGAAGCCATACACAGAATCAACGTCTACTGGTGAAATCATATGCCATCTTCGTCTTACCTAATGCCATCAAATACACACACTCTTAGAAACCGAGTTGAGGAAACCTCCGTGTAACCAGGCTCCCAGACAGGCCTGCAACGAGGCCACGGTTGGCCTTTTGGTTTCTCTCACAGCCAGGTCACTGCAGCCCACCAAAGCGAAGCGTTCACGAGGCACGTGCTGACAGCAGGGTCGCCCCAGGGCAGTGTGAGGACACCTGGCTCCCAAGGTTTGCCTGGTCACAGGTGCCCCTCTACACGAGCACCTGTGAGCAGGAAGTGTGTCCTGGAGGCTGAGCAAGCTGCCCCTCTGGAGACAGGTGAGTTCTAAGTGTGAGGAAACTGCATTTACAACTCCAGGTACATTGAGAACAGCACTCTCCCATCTCTGTGGCCGCAACCAAGGACACGGGCAAAACCAGACAGGCGCGCCTTCTAATCAGGGCACCTGTGTGCCCACTGCAGGCCACCTAGGGGCCTCACCTGACTTTCACAAGGGCCCGATGCAGGCTCCAGATCATCTGCTTCTTCTGATGAGGAAACAGAATTCCTAAAGGATGGGCTGTGACCTGTTCCACAGGCTGGCGGAGAGCCACACCTGGTTACCGTCTGTGTGGTCACCTGGATACCACAGCCCACATGAATCTCGGCACAAGACAACAGAACAGTGCTCAGGACAGGGAGGAGAAGCACAGGTGCTGTGGCTCCGCGCCAGGCACCCGGGGTGCGTCCAACAGCTGTTCTCACCTGTAGTCCCGCAGCGTGAGGTTGGTGTACCGCACCGTGTCGTCCATGCTGCAGCTGACAAGCTGCCCAGACTCATCCACGGTCATCCTGGACACCTGATTCGTGTGGCCTTTCCCAGCAAAGGAGTCATTCTCCCCAGTCTCTGAATCCCAGTAATGTGGGGCAAGGTTAAGGAAAAGCCTTTCTCCAGGGCTGGGACTGAACCCCAATCCAGGCAGTTCAGAAAAACACGAGTACTGGCCCTGGGGCTGACCCAGCGTGGCGATACCGAGTCCGGGTTTTTTGGTCTCAGTTGTAGCTTGAGTAACAAAGGCAAATCCTACTTCCAAGAAAGGTTACTGCTCCCAGGAGATGCTCAAGGCTGACACAGACCTGGGCCATAAGCCCAGCTAGGACACCAAGGCTGACCCATGCGTGACCACCAGAGCAAGACGACACTGGGCCTTCGCTGCTCCTGGCTGTGATGCAGTCTCAGGCAGGTCCTACCCCACCTTTACCCGCCCCTTCCCATTTACTTCTTTTTTCTTTTGTTCAGTGCAGCAGACACTTATCTGCCTTCCCCTCGGGCAGACTTCCTTCTGTGGAGAGACTGTCCTAGATCTGTGAACACAGAATTCTTGCCAACACAGGGGAGGTCTGGCGGGCATGTGGGGTGTGGTCCCGGGCAGCCTTCAGGAGATGCAGCGGCCCTGGGAACAGAGGACTGCCTAGAGATGCAGCAAGGTGACCAAACCAACGCATGGCCTTGCCAGCTCAGTGGTGTGGGAAGCACTTGGCTGCTGAGGTTTAGGACAGCTCTACAAGGCAGTGAGGAATGCCACAGGCCATGCAGAGAAGAGCACAACGCTGTTCCTCCTTATCAAGTCTCAGACGGGGAGGGGGGGGTCTGGAAAGGGGCCACACGCGCCTCCAGGGGACACCGCTGCCGAAGCATGAGAGCCTTGTTGGAGCTTCTGTCCCACTTCAGCTGCTGGTGGACTGTGACCTCCGGGACGGCCCCATCTTCCGGGTGTCGTTCCCCACTTTTCAACCAAGGGGACTCACTGGGGGGTGTCTGAGCTTCAGCAGTTCCACTGCTGGTGATGTGGGCCAGACTGGCTGCACCCATCCTTTTGGAGAAGCCGAGTCACACCGTGCTGCACGAGCAGACTGATGGGGTCAAGGCTGTGGCGGCCCTGCAGCTGTGAGGCCTGTCTAGGACGAGTACAGCTCCCAAGAGCGTGGAGCCGTGGCTGGTGCCACCTGGCTGGCCCAGCCCCTGGCACTGTGGGAACGAGAAATTCCCCTCTCCTGCCAGCAGCTGGAACCAGCTCTGTGACTCAAAGGATATTAATGTGCCCGTCGTGGCTCCCCGAGTAGATGTAGGACTTGCCGCCGTTTTTATGCACTGTCAGACACTGGATCGATTTACTGTGACCCTGTGAAGGAGAGAAGCGGTGGCAGGGTGAGCCCAGGACACACAGGCCTTCCGTTAGGTGCTCGGCAACATAGGAACCCCTCAGCACACAGCAGCTGAGACCTGGTGGCACTGGTGCCCAAAAGCACACTCCAGGGACAGTGAGCACCCCACCCCGACTCCAGCTGACCAATCACCTGACGAGCCCACAGCATCTGTGCCCTTCTCTAGAGGGGCCCAACCCTACACGGGGCTAAAACAAAGCCCAGCACAGGAGGTGCATGGCCTGTGCCCAAGTGACCTAAGCTACTGCAGGAGGAAAACGCGGCTCTTGTTTGTCACACACGAGGATGTGCCCTGGGCTGCACCTCCAAAGGCCCAACAGCCTTAGGAGCTTACCAAAACACGTTGTGTCCAGGGAGGGCACGCGGCCTCTTTACCATCTGCTGCCTGGGTGTGGTCTGATCACAGTCCTCACCCTGGCTGCGGCCAGGCCCCACTCTGCCAGCAGCGCTTCGTTACCAGCCAGCACTCCTATCCGGAGCTTTGTCCAGCATGTGTGGTGCCCCACTTGTTGCCACAATACAGCACTGATCTTGGGAGGAGGTACAGGCAGTTCTCTTCAGGGCTGGGGAGCCAGTGAGGAGCCAGTGAGTCATTCCATTCCACGCCCCAGCAAGGGACCAGCTTTTCATGCAGCACAGTCCTGTGACCTCCCACGCGGAACCTCAGCCTGGCAGGTGTCACTAGCAGTGCAGGGCCACCTGGCCTGCCGGGGCCTATATACACACTTACCGCCTGCAGTACCACCTCTCTCGGAACTCCCTCAATGCCAGCTCTCAGCTCTCACCCTCAGATGTCACAGGTGTCTCTGCTGTGAGCTGGGGTACTGAACAAGATGGGGCAGCATGGCTCTCACTGCAACCCTAAGGGTAGTAGAGACCCTGTCTGAACTCCGTGGGGCCAGCCAGGCCACAGGTAACATGTGGCTAGGACAGTAACTGCCATTCCAGCTCCTGCAAGTGGCTTAGAAACCCGGCAGCCTGTGACCAGCACCAAACGCCTTCAGTGTTTCATGTGTGGTGTGAGAACTGCGGCGTGAGCTTCACTGTCGACACTGTAAGGGCCCAGGATATTCTCCAAGCTGACATGGCCGCACCCATCCAGCTCGGAGCTGAGCTGGTTGGTCCCACATGATTTCCAGTAGTGCAAGCAGACATGCACGTGCTCCTAGGGCACAGACCCAGAACCGCAACACCTGGTGCTCACTACCGTGGGCAGCCCTGGGAGACGGCTCTCCTGGGCACCGTCACAAGGCAGTGTTGTTTTGGAAAGCTCCCCAAGGTGCCAGCCTCCCTATCTTTAGGGACCCCTACATAAAGGAGCTCCTCATTCCCTGTGTTCAGGGAGCCTCACGTTAAAAAACAAAGCAGGAGTCCAGGAGTTTCATACAAGCAGCAAGGGGCCCTTCCTTGTGATCAAGGTCCAGCTGTAAGGCGGGGAGCGATGATTAAGGCAGCACCTGCTAGGGAGCATGCTGGGCTGGGCACCCGGGGGGCTGTTCCCAGCTGGCCACACTAATGCTGCAGGGCTCTGTCCCTTTGTGGCACAGCCACAGTTCAGCAGCTAGTAAGGGAAGGTCCAGCTGCCAGGACGCAGAGCAGCCCAGGACGGGGCTGTGTGACTGCTCCTTTGGACTGTAGACAGCAGTGACCCTGCAGGGCTGAGGAGGCCCTGCCGTGTAGCTTCTATCTCACCTGGCTACAGTCGCCACAGACGTCAACCATGGCTGGGGTGGATGGGGAAAGCGGGAACCCCCAGACAGCATGAGACGCTGCAGCCTCTGGCCCCCGGGAGCCAGCACAGGGGTTGGAGACAGCTACTGTGCCTGCCCAGGCCCTCGGCACTTGGGCTGCTCCCTGTGCCCCAGCAGGCTTCCCTGCTGCGTCTCCCTCAAGCTAAGTCACACACAAAGCCATGCACAGGGCCAGCTGCACGTCCTCTTCCTCCGGGAGGCTCCCACCCCTGCCCAACACTCAGCATTTAACTGCTCCCGGGAGGTACCACCCACGGACTTCCACCTGAGCGAGGGCCAGGGAGTCTGGGCACCTTGGCGGTGTCAGCTCCCTGCGGGCTGCCCATCTTGATCGTGCCTGCCCTGGGGCAGAGCTACTCTCACCTTGACGACGCGCAGGGGCTTGCTGGGGTTGTTCTTGTCCAGGTAGTTGATGTAGCCCGAGAGGGAGACACTGAGGAGGTGGTCCTTCTGCCATAAGCAGCCCAGCTGCTGATCCAGGACGTTGGAGCCCATGGGAAATGTGGTGACCACAGAATTCACGTTGACATCCCAAATCTTGGAGGTTTTGTCTCCGGAAGCAGAAAGCAAGTGAGTGCTATCCGGACTCCAACTAATCTATACAAACAGCATGTCATGCGTCAGAGGATTCCAGACAACAGCTGACCACAGCTTCTTATTCCCACCCACCCTCCAGCAGGGACACACCTGAGGCAGGGGCAGGACCAGCTTCCAGTCTGCTGCTCTGCCCTTTGTTGCCCACGTCACCTCACAGTGACCGAGACCCTTGCCCAACTTCAAAAGGTGACTGTTGTATGCAAACCCCACTCCCCACAGGAAAGGGCCTCTACTCACAGCGTAAATTCCTCCGTCGTGGGCCTTGCCGTCTCCCAGAGAGCACACTTTCTCTCCTGTCTTCCCATCATAGATGTAGATCTTCCAAGAAATAAGAATACATGTGGATTATGTGCTCATGTTCCCAAATGCCCCAAGAGCTGGCACACTTGTCAACAGACTGTGGCTCTATACACTGGCTTCCAGCGCCCTTGGGAGGCAGGGAGCTCTCCTGGGCCTGTGTGTCCAGCACCACCAAGTCCCCGCTGCCCCTTACCTGGCCATCGGCACTGGCTGTGGCAAACCTGTTCCCGTCAGGAGAGAACCGCACACAGTTGACAAAGCGACCGTGGTCCTGCAGGAGAGTAGAGGAAAGTAAGGTCTGGACTACCAACAGCGACTGCAGCAGCAGGAGCAGTCTGTCCACAGGGTAGGCTCACGTCTTACAGACTGCCCTCGTGCTGCTCCCACCAGCCTGGACTCTGGCTGGAGGTCCAGATCTGCCTACTTCCCTCTGGACCCTAAAAATTTGAGTGGGCCAGGACCCTGAGGCCAGGAGCCAAGACTGGAAGAGGAGCCCAGGCTCACGTGCTCCCTGGGGAACTGACTTGGAAAAGGACCAACAGACTGACTTCTCAGGAACCAAATGCCGAGCACCAGGGAAATGCCCTCAGGGGAGTCCCCCACCTGACTAAGCAAAAGAACACCCTCCTTCCCCAGTGAACAGGCAGGATTGCAGAACGACCCACTAAAGCCCCCTGCCAACAGCAACATCCCACCCCAGCTTCAGCCTGCAGGTGCCCACTCTGGCTTCCTCTGGCAGGCGGGTCAGTTGTCTCAGTGGGCACAGACAGCCACACCTGTAGGGAGAGAACGCAAGGCACTGGAGCCCTGCCACTGCCAGGTTCCCAGCATTACTGAGGTGCAAGCTGAGGGTGGAAGGACAGTGAACGACGTATGAGACAGACTGTCAGAGTCCTAGGCACCATGAATGTGGCCTTCTCTGGAAATGGTCCTTGCCGATGTGACCAAGCGTTGGTGCTCGATAAGAGGGAGATGTGGACCTGACTCTTGGAGTCTGGAGGAGACCAAGCAGGACTCAGACGGCTCATGCCCCACGATACCCCCACCACGGGCATCTGATTCTGCAAGGCATTTCGGCCTAAGCCCTTGGCCTGTGGTCCTGGTGCAGTCTGGGAAACAGGCAGTGACCGCCCTCAGATTGTCACAGTAGTAGAGTGAATGAGCCCCCAGGAACACCACACTCGCTACCCTGATGAGAAATGCACACCTAGAAAGACAATCGGCATCCCAGGCACCCCAAGCCAGCGAGTCACTGTGAGCCAAAGCTGGAGCTGCCCCTCACAGCCCGAGAGGCCCAGCACAACCAGCAGATAAGCTGCTCCTTGATGCGGACACTCAGCTACTTGGCTACCCAAGCGTCCCCAAGTGCCACCACAAGCACAGGTGCAGCTGCAGGCCAGCCCATTGCCCTTCCAGCTCACTGTAGTGAGTCCTGTAGGGCTGTCATTGCCCTCGATGGTCAGCGACAAAGCACGGGGTGGTTTCAACATCAGGCAGGCAGAGTGTGGTCCCTGGGAGGGATGAACGCATCTAGTATGGTGGGCTACAGTTCTCCTCCCACTGCTGCACCCAGTCGCACCGTGAGGCCCCATGGGCCGGGCCACCCCAGGTGCTGACGGTGCAGCCCTGCTTCCAGATCTGGACACAGCCTCCTAGTCTGGCATTCAGTCAGCCATGCCTCTTTAGCACATTCATTCCATACATCATAAGGCCAACCTGGGCCATATCGCTTGTTTCCTAGCATTCCTGGCATGTGCGGAGCTGAGGAAAAGCAGCGTGGCCCACGTGCACAATCCTCCAAACTGCAGGAAAAGCAAAACTGACTTCCCACAATGGAGCCCCTCAGGCACCAGCCCCTCACACAGTGCTTTGGCCTCCTCTGCTGTCACCACGGAGCCCTCACTTCACCAGAGCAGTAGGGCTACCAGGCCTGGAGGTGGGGAGACAGGGGCTGTACAGGTCTGAGCCGGGTGCCCACTGCTTCCCAGCTCCTGCCTCCGCTGAACCGGCTCTCGGGCTGCGGCAGGTGCTGGACAGGTCCTGGCCTGGAGCCATGCCAGAGGCCAGATCCTTAACTCGTGTTCCCTGCTACACACTCTGTGCTTGCCAGCTGACAGGACTCACCCTGCTCTTCCTGGGCAGTCCTGGACCTGTGGGCACGGAGCTGTGTTCCGAGTCCCCTTCAGGACGCGGCACCCCTCCCCCAGCTCTTGTGGTATGCAACAAGCTAGTCACAGGTCTCCTCCGTACACCAGCACACCACCCAGTTCCCTTTCTTTGGCAAGCACAGGCTCAGTTCTCACCCGAGATCCTACCCTGGCTTGCCCCACCCCTGCTGCAGATCCTGCGACAGTGTGGTGACATGGCCAAGATGGGCTGACATCAGTGTTGCCCTGGGTGCCCTGACTGCACAGGAAAGGCTGGGAGCAGTGTCCTCAGAACTCCCAGACTCTAGGCACTCAAGTGGAGCTGAGCCTGGAGATGACAGTGTGTGTGTGTCCTCTCAAACAGCATCCCCCCTCTGCTGGTTTCTGCAGAACCAGCTGCGATAGTCTTGTGTGTCTCCCCCAGCCCCCGTGACCAGGCCTTTTGTCTCATGAAGCAGATACCCCTTCAAGGCTGAGCACCATGTGACCTCAGGGCCCCTGCCTCCAGAGCCTAGCTCTGTCACCATTTCCTGCATGTGGAGCCAAGCCCCATGAGTCCAGGGGGTCGGAGAGACTGAGGCTTGTTCCTGAAATAACCCCTTAAAATGGGGCGGAGCAGCCAACATTTCATGAGCCAAAGAAGCGAGAGCTAAAAACAGCCTCACAGTAACCAGTATCCAAAGACAGGCACACAGGGGAAACAGGAGGGGGTCCACATTCCACGGCCCCCTGGCTGGGGCTGCCTACCCCACTCTCCCCCACGCAGGACGGCTGCTCCTCCCCACCCATCCACCACTGTACAGGTCCAGCCTCAGGCCACCTTTTGATGTGGACCTCTGGGGCCTTTGTGCCTGGCCCATTCCTGCCCCCAGGTACCTGCAGCTAATGTCCATGGAACACTGGAATGTGCCCTGCTGCTGTCCACATGCACGCCCCAAGGATGAGGAATCCAAGACCTGAGATAATTGGGCTATAAGTAACGCAGCGCAGTCCACAGCACTGCTGGGGAGGCTGACTCCATAGTGAGCACACCAGCTACCTGGCGGCTCAAGGTGTCCCCTTCCGCTCCCATTGCCCTGGCTGCTACATGGGAGGGACCACCACCACACATGCTCCTGGAGAGACCACAGTGCCCCAGACGTGGGATCCTGTGCCTGGGGTCGCACAAGTGGCTCTACTTTCTCAGCCTCCCGCCCAGCCGTCCTCATCAGGCACCCTGAGAGGCTGCACTGTACATCCTCTGCCAGTTTCTGCCCCCAAAGCATAGCAGAGGCCCTGACTGCTGCTAGGCCGTGCCTCTCCTGTCACCTGGCTCCATGGCTACTCTCCTGGAGAACAAAGGCAAGGCCGATGGCCAACAGAATCGCTCTACACCCTCCCTGCTGCCTCTCAGTTCTCTGGGCAGAGGAGGCCTCCAAGTCTCCCAGCACGGCCACTCCCACTGATGGTACAGGACAGCCCTGGAGAGCAAATGGAGATGGCATTCCGGATGCCTGGACTACAGCACTGACTGGAGGACAGAAATGGTTGTTTTCTGCCCTGTTGTGCATTCAGAGTGCCAAGGATCCCACACACTGGAGGACAGGAGCTGCCATCCTGCACCTCTGGGACCCAAGGCCTACCCCACTGCCTGGGGCTCAGGAGAGTGACTGCAGTGAGCCAGGGCCCACTTGCCTCTGGGAAATGCTGCTTCGAGGGCCACTCGGGGGCAGCCTCATCAGTGTCGTGTTTCCCTAGGTATTGAAACTCAGACACAGCTTACTGCTTTCCACGGTGGCAGGTTGAGTGCGTCCTGGGAGGGCCCTATAACACTCCCTCCCACGGCAGCTACCTGAGCCTTTCTGGGCCTGGCAGGCAGCAGTGGGAGGAGGGGAAAGTGTGGCTGGCACAGCCCCCATACCCTGCACAGCTGTGAGGAGGTGAAGATGGCCCTGACCCCAGCAGTCTCAGTGGTGAGAAGGTTTAAGGAGAAATAACTGATGTCCACACTTCCACTGCACCCTCACTCCATGGCCTTGAATGTTCTCAGGCTAGACGACAGGTGACAGGTGGCTTGGGGCTTCCCTACCGCAGCCTTATCCACACACAACAGCTCCGAGTCGCAAGGCAACACCTTCCAGGTCATTTTGGATAAACAGCCAGGTGTTCCTCTAAGAATCATCTCTCACATGTCACTAATGTCCCTAGAGTCCTCTCCCACAGTCGGGATCATCACTTCCTTTCCTGGAGTGCCAGAGGCCACCCAGGCAGGACGTGTGTGTGGGGTGCCAGGAGAACCCCAGGTCAAGGGGTGGTGCCCACCCTGGACTCACTGCATGGCTGGGGCTATGGGCCATGACACTGCTCTGACATGAGGGAGAAGACATTGTGCTATGTATGAAGGGTACCCCAGCTGGGAGCATAAAGCTGCCTGCCTGTGCTTCAAGCTTCAAACAATCCACACCAGAGACAGCCCCCTACCCGACACAACAGCCCATATACTGGGTGGGGGTGAAGAAACAGGAACAGTGTCACAGAAGAGTGGAACACAGCCTCTGGCTGCCACGCCCGTCTAACCTCCTCCACAGGGTCAGATCAGGTGTTTGGCTGACTCAGCATCACTCACCCTCCATTACACAGAACCTCCACCTCCACTTAAGAATATTGATTTTTTAACCGCAGCCTTCAACACAACTCCCAAAATAACCAAGTCACCACTACCTGGCAATTAGGCAGTCCCCAGCAGGCAGGATGAGAACTTTGGTAGTCCAAAGGGCCTCTTGAGCTGCAGGCTCTGTACAACACCTCAGTTCACCTCCCACCCTGCTGGCCAGGCCATGTCCAGGCCGGTCACTGGCGAGGAGTAATCATCTGTACCCTGAGCCAAGCTCTGCCTCTGGAAATCCCAACTTAGCAGGCATCCTGGCCTTGCCTTTCTTGGAGATGCCCTGCCCGCTATTTGTGACTCACCGGGCCAGGTCAATAAAATGAATGTTACCCCTCCGGGAGCTGCTCTGAGGATATTACCTCACCTCATGCTCCATGAAGCACAGATCCTGGGGGCTCCTGAGACCTCCACCCAAACACTCCGCACTCAACTATGCACGCCCTAAGGCCACAAACAGCCTCCACACAAAACACGCATTTGCTGGGTACGAGGGCCATGCTGTGTTCTCATCACCAGTGTCTGGACCAGCTGCATCTTCCTTGGCTGTACACCAGCCTGACCGGGAAAGGCAGCCCAGCAGAGAACTGCACAGCCTTCCTTCATCATTGGCCTCCGCTCAGATCTGACCTCTGGGGTCCAGCCTGGGGATGGGCACTGCCACCACCCTGCATTCCAGGGCCCTACCCACAGCTACAACCCTCGATGCAGAGGCCCCCATGCACTTCTGTTGGCAGATGGGAGAAAGGAGGCTGAGAGAGGCCTGGGCACCAATCTGTGGCACAGTGCAGGCAGAGGAACCCTAAGACCTGCTGCTCACACTCAGGTATGCAGCGTTTCACTAGGCACTGGGCTGTTTCTTCCACACAGGGCCTTGGAGTCTCAAAATTCTTCAGGGACGCCCCCACGAGGCCCACGAAAGACCCATCCAGTGTCCTGGAGCGCACTTCCCCTGGTCTTCAGTAGCTTAGTAGGGTCCCCTTCTAACAGGCACTACAGCCCATCATGCTGCTCCCAGCCCAGGTAGCATGCCAACAGTCCCCAGACAGGACCCTTCTTCCAGGAACTACCCATGGCCAGCTAGGTACTCAGGCTTAGGATGCCCGGGCACTGTGGACTCTTGCCCATACCCATGACGCTTCCTCCAACAGCCCTACTTTGTATCTGTGCACCAGGGCTTGTACCACAACCTTCCCGCCAGGTACAACAGGCCTACACTGCACTGGGCTCAGACAGACCACAAAGTTCACCCAACCCAACCCCCCCACCCCTGAAAGAGACGTGCACTTACTCCAATTGTAAACTTGAACTTGAACGGGGGTCCCTCAAAGAAGGCGGCACAGTTGTCGTCACTCCCTGTTGCCAGCCTGTATGGCCTGCTCTGCTTGATGTCCACGCTGTTGATGACTTTGTTGTGTCCTGTGATCTCGCCCACGGAAGAGCCGCTGTCCCACAGGAAGACGGCTCCAAACCTTCACCAGTGAGAGTCAAAGAGAAAAAGATCAGCTCTGGAAAGCTGAGGAGAATCTGACTGCAGTGTCCAGAGGTGGGCAGGGGGTGTGGACGCAGCCGGCATCTTAGCCTGCTACAGATCCACTGAAGTCCTGCCGACGGGGCCTGAATGTGCACACACTGTGGGAAGGATCTGAAGGATCAAGGAAAAGGGCCTCCAACCCGGGTGGGGCCTCAGAGAGTGCCTGCTCAGGGCCAGCATTGCGGCACAGCATGTCAAGCCGCTGCCTGAAGAGCTAGCATGTCATACAGAAGCCAGCTAGAGTCCCAGCTGCTTCACTTTTGAGCCAGCTCACTGTTAGTGTTCCTGGGAAACCAAAAGAGGATGCCCCAAGTCCATGGGCCCCTGCCAGCAATGTGGGAAACCTGGAACACGTCCCTGGATTTGGCCTGGCCCAGTCCCAGCCACTGCAGCCATTTGGAGAGTGAAACAGCAGATGGAAGATCTTTCTGACTATCTCTCCATAATTTATTTAATAAATACTTAAAAAAAAAAAAACAAGAAGCAAGCAAGAAAGGATCTGGGGGTGGGGGATTGTCTCTGTGGCCCCTCCTTTTCCTAGCATCACTGTTGGGAGGGATCAGCTTCCATCCCACAAGGCTGGAAAATTTTTTTTCTGCCAAGGGTCATTTGGACCACATAAAATTATCAACTTAAACATCAGCCTGCGGTAGATTCCTTGAGGTCCTACCTGCGGCTGCCTGTGGGCCGGATGCGCCCACCCTGCACTCAGCTGGCACTCTCAGGCACTGCCCTAGCTACTCAGCAGTAGCCAACAAAAGGGCATCTATGAAGACTGACAGGAATCACTCGAAAAACTGTGAACCATTAGTATCTCCTAGGACCCGAACTGCCGGAAGGAGCCTCTGGGGAAGGGACATTAAGAAGTGGCTGCCAAGCTTCTGGGCTGAGGGAGCCACGGCTGCCCTGAAGGAACCCTAACTGCTCTAGGATGAGGACCTGGGCTCCAGCACTGTCCCTTGCTGGTCACCAGACCCAGAGCAGCAGCCACCCCCTTTCCCGGGCTGGGGGCCTCAGGCAAGTGCTCTGCTGGGACAAACAGGTGCCCAGACTCCTTTATGTGCTTGTGCAGCACCTATGCAGGGGGCCCCCCCAAAAAAGGTGCCCCTTCTGCTTCGTCCCTCCCCTGCTGCCTGCAATCAGGGCATGGCAACCTGGAGGAGCTAAGGATGTCAAAAGAGAGAAGGGGCCTAGCTAACAGACCTATTACCATGTAGTGTCTCCCTCATGCGTGGGTGAAGCCAGCCTGGCCAAGAGCTCAGGGGCGTCACACCCTGGAGGCAGCAGAGGGCTGGAGCTTACACAAGCATAGGCAAGCAAAGATCTCACCCCCAGATTCCATCCCACCTGGGTAACAACAGGGCACAGGCCACGGGGAACAGAGCAGGAAGGGGCCAAGGCAACTCACTTCTCTCTTCCTTCACCCACCACGGCGATCCTCTTACTATCTTCGGTCCAAGCAACATCCTTGATCTTCCCAGCGAAAGGCTGGTACTCATACTTCAAGAGGTGATCTTTCTGCGTGGTATCCCAGATCCTCAGCTTCCCAGACACATCTGCAAATGCCAACAGGGGCAGAGAAAACCAGGTCACCTCCGGGCTGGCCAAGCCTGGCCACAGTGCACTTCGGCACTGCCTCTGGCTTTCTAGGCTTTCCGCAGCGGAGGGAGCCCCTTCGCGACCCCAGTACTCAGCTACTCTGGAACTCGAGCTGCTGTCACATGTGAGCTGCACTTGGTCTATGTATTTCTTCTGTAACCATCGGGATAAACCATCCCTCTTCAGGTATCAAAGTGCAACAACACGCCAGGGTGATACTCCAATAGTGACGAGGTCACTTAGCTTTACAGCCCAGCTTCCTTCCTCCTTGCAGAAGCACGTCAATGGCACGTGGGCCCTGGACAACCAGAACCCCATGATAGGTGTCCCTGGTACCAAGTGGCAATGTACTAGACATCCTCCTCTCCCCCGGAGGTTCAGCAGGGAGGCCCGGCTCACTCGTCACAACCAGGGATGGTTCCACCCCCCTCGCCCCCTGCTGAGGCCAAGTAAGCTGCCTCAGACACACACAGTGGCTGCTGCAATACAGGAGAGCACATAAGCCTCGGGGAGCACTGATGGCAGACTGATGAAATGACACTGGGTGCCACATCCCTTCCCTCTGTGAGGCCAAGCTGGAGCCAAGCACCAGCCCCAACACACCCCTGCCCGAATGAGTCCTGTTTGGCAGGGAGGAACAACCCTGTTCTACCCTCCTAGGGCTTCAAACCTTAGCCGAGGCCTCCGTGCAGGGGCAGGGTGTGGCTCTTGCAGAGGAGCCCAGCCCCTGAAGCAGGACTGGCAGGCACTTGAGAGCTAGCTTCATGCGCACAGCCTTGGATCTCTTGGTGGAGCCAACCCAAGGACAGGGAGGGGGAGGTAGCACAGGACAAAAGCTAAAAGCAGGGCCTGGGAACCAGTGCCTGAATCTAAAGCTGGCCTTGAGCCCATATGGGCTTTGCAAATCTCAAACATTATGTGGCTTCCCTGTGGCCTTTCCACAGGGGAGGGAATAACTGTGCACCTCGTGGGAGTGGGATGTGGGTAAATGGAAACAAACCACCTCAGGCTGAGCCTCAGGACAGGCAAGCATTCAAATTCACTTAATACTCTGTGAAGGCCACTACAGGTCCCTCATGACACTGCAAGACAGAGCTAGCATCAGGCCAGGGCCTGACTACAATACCAAGGGCTGGCCCAAAGTGCAGTCCAGCTGTGAGAACAGAGGGGGACACCAAAGCATGTGAGCAGCACTGAGTGCAGGGAGCCGCGGGAGGGCCTGGAGCTTTCTGGGTAAGGTCCAGGAAGATGACCAGGAGTCCCAGGCAGGTACAGCCATCAGAGAAAGGAAAGGAGGTGAGTGCGGGCTAGCAGTGACAGAAGCTGTGCCATGTGGCTATGTGGTCTGTGCCCGAGGCCAGGCTACCTGGGCCAAGGTGGAGGGTGTCCACCTCTGATAGGTCCAGCTGTCCCAGCTCTCGTGTTCCTTGACCTGCTGCTCCTCCTGCAGCCTGGCTCCACTGCAAGTCCAGTTCACTGTACTTCCCCATCAGCCTTCACCGGACCTCCCCCTTTCCATTCAATTCTTCACAGAAGCATCCAGGACAGAAAAGAGTGGTGTCTGGGGATCAGGAGCGTTAAGCCCCCTCCCGCGCAGGCCGATATGATTGGAATGAAGACTCCACAGAAGCCAGGCTAGGACCTCACCTGGGAGTAAGCGAGCGGTGGGCTTCCTAGGGTACTGGGCCTCTTTATCCCCGGGTGATCCATGTGTGAACCAGCACAGCCCCTTCTGAGCACCTGCCCCCTCCATGAACAAAGCACACTATTTTTAGCCCACAGACCTCCTCTCTGCAGCAAAAGCTGCATTGTTCCACTGTAATCCTCAACAATCAGCATGGCCTGGCTCTCCACCTGAGAGCCACTGTCACATCAGAGCGCTTTCAAGAAAGCAGAGCCTGGAACCGGTGCCCTGGATTTATGGAGACTGTCCTTTGTAAAGGCCTTGCTGCCTACTGCCCTGGACAGGGAAGGCAGGCCTGGCTCACAGGCAGGCGGACTCAGCCTGCAGGGAGCCGGGCCAAGCCGAGGCCAAGGCCTTCACCAGTCACATTTCTTCAGACAGTCCAGAGTGCGTATGTGTTAAACAATGTTTAAAAGGCATCTGGGTTAAATCTTGGGGGCTTAAACAAACAAACATTGAGCTAGTGAGTACAGTAAGGGGTATCCCAGAGCTGAAATAAATCCAGGGGTGAATCAGAACAAGTTATACAGACAGAGCCATAGCAGAACCAAAACAAGAAGCATCAAGTGCCTGTGAGATGACAGCCTCTGGCCCAGCTCACCCATCAGCCAGGTTGCCTGAACACAGAGGCTCTGCTCTACTGCGAGCTCCACACGGCATTAACCAAGCTCAGGGCACGACCTGTGCCAGACGCTGCATCTCACTGCCTCACTGGGTGTGTCCCCAACCCCACAGGGTGGCTTTTTTACAGTTCCCGTTTAAAGAACAGAAAATCAGGGCATAGGAGGGTAGTCACTCCAGTACAGCTGCAGAGGCAGTAGGGGGTGACCTCCAAGAGCTTCTGACCCCATAGCTTCCTCCTGCAGGGAGGCATCTGCCCACAGGCTAGAAGGGAAGGGCAGGGCAGACTAAATGGCAACAGCACCTAGAGTCCCAGCTCTTCTCGGCAGATGCTGAGATGGCAACGGCTTATGTACCTAGCTGTCCCCGTGGCACGAGGCACAGTGCTCAAGTGGGCCTCCCTTCCCCACTTACAAATGATCAAAGCTCCACCTCACAGAACTAAGTGAACAAGGCATCCCACAAACAGCCTCACGCGGCCCTCCTGTTCTAGCCTCCTTCAGAGGCACACAAAGTTGGGGTCACAGAGAAAAGCTCAGTCCCCATTTACAAGAGCCAGCTCTGACAGCAGCTTCCTGTTAGCTTAGGTCCTGGGAAAGCAGCAACATGCAAGAATGGCACAAAACAGCCACAATTCACCCACACAAATGAGCCCAACTGCAGCATAGCACAGTCACCAACAGGGCCCTCTGGCCAACCTCATTCTCTCATGATCTTTGAGCTGGAACTTATGGGAATACTGTGAACTAGAAAGCACATTTTCTAGAACAAAGGGCAACTCTGGAACGGGACACTTTGTTATCTTATTCATGCCTAGTTAGCTACATTGGCTCTCCTTTAACTGACCTGCCACCCCCTCCCTTCTCCCTGCATACCCTCACCCTCTGCTGTCCCACTCCTCTCCTCCCCCCAAAGCTAGGACCCCTGGGCCACAGCACATACCTCCAGAGGCGATGTAGAATCCGCTGGGCGCGTACTTGGCCACCACCACTTGGTGGGCGTGCTCCGTGTAGATGTCAGCAATGGCTGGGTTCTGCAGGGAGGAGATGGGGTGAGCAGGGGCAGAGGCTGCAGACAGCCCGCAGCTCACCCAGTCCATAGGCAGGAGCTGCTGTACACTCACAACTGTCACACCAAGGAGCTGCAAGGAGCCACTGCCCACACACTCAATGTCTGCTTATCTTAAAAACTTCAGGCAACTTTAACTTTTTCTTGGAGTATAAAATTCAAGGTGATTTTCCCTCTTGTCTGCTTTCCTATACTTTCTACAACACACTATATATATACCTTTGAAACTAAAAATTTGATTAAAGAATCCATGATTTGAAGGTCAGCCTTTTGGCTCAGCGGGTTAAGCTACCACTGGTGACACTGACATCCCATGAGTGCCAGTTCAAGTTCTGGCTGTTTCACTTCTAATCCAGCTCCCTGCTATCGTGCCAGGAAAACAGCAGATGATTCAAGTGCAAGGTGCTTGGGCTCTTGCTGCCCAAAAGGGTGAGACCCAAATAGAATTCCAGGCAGCCAGCCCCAACCTGACCACTATGGCCATTCGGTAGAATTCCAGGAATCCAGGCCCAGCCCGACCACTAGGGCCATTTGGTAGTGAATCAACAGATGGAAAAATCTGTCTCTCTGTAAAAACAAACAGAACAATTCCCAGCAGAAACTGCAGAGAATGGTCAGCAGCAGTGCATTCAATCCAGTTGTTAGCTTTCACTGCCATAAACCCCCAAAAGCCAGACACTGCGAGTCAACAGGAGGTCTGTATTTCAACAAGGGAGGTAGACAGGGAGAGAAAAGGCAGCAGGGGAGAAAGGTGGGGGGAAAAGAGAGACAGAGATACTGAATGCAAGTCACCCAGTGGCATCTTAACAGGTGCACGAAATGCCCACCCTAGCTCTTTTCTCTCCTCCTTAAATATGTACTTGAAAGTCAGAATTAGTGAAGGAGAAACAGGGATAGATTGAACTTCCATCCATTGGTTTACGCCCCAAACGGCCACAATGTTGAAGGCTGCGCCAGGCTGAAGGCAGGGGCTTCTTCCAGGTCTCCCACTCGGGCCCGTGCCCTGCTTTCCAGGTACGTCAGCAGGAGCTGGAAGGGATGCAAAGCCATGACAGGAACTGTTGCCCACATGGAATGCCAGCAGTGTGGGTCCCAGCACTGCAGTTTTAACACATACTTCACCTTTATACTTTATCAAAGGAGCTGCCCTCTGGTCAGCCTTCTGGTGCAACACTGTGCACCCCTCCGCACCACAGGAGCAAGTCAGCACACCCCCTAACCAGCCCTGACAACAGGCCATCTGTGCCCCCACCTCCAGGACACCCACATGTTCTCAGGCCCAAGCCACGCATGGCCCACAGGAAGTCTGCCTCTGGGCTGTGAAAGCACTCCTGCCTCTCCAAGGGGAGAGTACACACCCTGGCCCTAAACTCCCACATTTCTCTCATTAGCTACTTTGTAACAGCACTTAGCAAATGACATGTTCAGGAAACTACTTTGGGGAGGAAAAGAAGAATTTTCTCCCTTTAGGCTTAACAGTTACCATTATGTGATGTGATAAATATTACACCTGAGACCTTTAAACGTTCCTGGAAAAAAAAAATCCATGTGCATTATGAAAAAACTACATTTAAAAAAAATTTTGCAACAAAAACACATTTACTTTTCAATTCCATTTTTCTAGCAGCTTTTTAAAGTAGCCAGAGGCATGTGCTTCATAAATTAGTTGATTTGGAAACAAACATTTGCTAAAAAAAAAAAAAATGTGGAAAGATACCAAGTTAACCAAAGAAGATGTCATAGCGAACAGACCCAGAAAAGGCGGCAGTGCCGTGAGTCTTGGAAAAAATTCTGAACCAGAACTACAGTGAAGCCTGCTACACTCCCACGCCGGCCCAGGAGGGCGAGACCACGTGCCGGCAGCCAGGGAGAGGCCCGACACAACGTTCACACTGCTGCTGGAAACGTAGGGTGCTTAGGAGACTCAGGCAAGCAAAGCGGAAGCGTAGGTCCCCAGGACCCGTGAAGCATGACTCAGCTCTACTCCTCAGAGCCCAGGCTGGGCGCACCCCAGGGCCCACCAGCAGGTGAACAAGCCCCGCGGACCTGCCCACACAAGGCCAATCAGCACAAGAAGGCACACACTGCAAGCTCCCTCAGCAGCACTGCCCAAGGACGCCTGGCTCAACAGACTCCCCGGGGGGAGGGCAGCCATTCTGGGCAAGGCAGGGGGAAGCAGGCAGGAGCTGCGGAGGCTGGGCTGCAGGGCAGCAGGCACACAGCGACAGTTCCTCCGACCCAAACACCCAGGGTCCACTCACAGCTTGACCAAGGAACTCACAGTTGCTGGGCCAACAGAGTCCTTGACTCACTGGTGACCGTTTCTCCAGGCCCCTTCCTTCCCCAGCCGAGGCAGCAAGGCCCTGAGAGGGGGTGTGAATTGGGGAAGTTTCCGTGGCCCAGGGTATCTGGGGGATGGAGCAGGCAAGCAGGGGCCACAATGGAAAGTCCTGCCCTGCAAGAATCCTTCCCCTACATGGTCAGGGCTGCAAGCAGGGTGTGTACAACACCCCAGGGGCAGTAGAATTCAGCACTGGGCTGCATGAATCACTCTCTCGTTTGTATTCTAAGTACAACTGGGTCAGTGTGGGGCTGACAGACTTACATCTGAGTCAGACAGCCTCCTCCCCACTCTGCTCCCTGAGGGGGAAGCCCTTGGCAGAGCGGGAGAGTGGATCCTTCCTGTCCCCACGCTCCACCTAGCCCTCTGTACCTGAGGTTCACCGTTACACACTCGTTGGGTCAGCACCCCCGAGCATGCCCCAGCACGTCCTCTCCTGCACACCTGGGAAGAGTTCTGGATGGAGCAGGCCAAGCAAGGAAGCCACTTCTCAGAGAACCAAGGCAGGGACTGCCCTGGTCAGGGGGCTCCCTGTCCTCCAGGACTGAGGGAACCCACCCAGGCTGGCTGCAGGTGCAGAGCTGCGTGCCCCTCCCCCCAGACTGCTTTTCCAGGCTGTGCCAGCATTAGCAGTCAGAAAGCAATTTTGGGCAGCAAACAGGAGGAAGCTGGGACACACGCAGACAGTACAGGATCTGTCATTAGAGCCCCGCCCGTGTCCAGACCAGCCTTTCAAGCGCCTTTTAAGCCTTCTCCACATTTCCTCCACCCCCATCTCTAATCCACACTCATGACCTCATTCCACAGCTGGAATTCTTCTGTTCCCTTTGCCAACTATGAAATCTGACATTGCAGCCCACCACACAGGACCCCTGGACTCCACCCCACTTAGCCTGGCCCTCTGCACACCTCCTCGAGGATGGTGGAGCTGTTCCAGCTGCTCCTATCCTAAGTCACCACCGTGTGGGCTTGGGCCCACTGCCTACCAGCCTCACTTTACATCAAGAGCTATTTAGCCTCCCATCCAGGGGCTGGAGCCAACGGGAAGAGAGCTCTGGATGAGCCCCCAGAATGCTGCTGCCACCTGAACAGGGGCCAGGAACCGCACAGAAGGCATGAGGGTGGCAGGGCTCCAGGACTGGTGTGGACACACAGCAGGTTGGTGCTCTGGTCTGTAGTCACAGGGTCTGAGGTGCACTGGCTACAGCAAAGTCAAACAGGTGGCCTGCTCTGCTCTGGGTGCCATCTTCCTTACACCTCCACATGCAGCTGGGGCACCTGGCCCCTCAACAATATTCCCACTTCCTTCCAGGGAGTCCTGAACACAGGAACCTGAACAGACCGTTAAGACTTCACTGCTTCCGTGGTGCCTGTGAGCAGACCTGCTCTGACATGCCAATAAGCTCACAGGCTGGGTGGGGGCAGGAGGCACTGCGCATGAAGCTCCGCAGTCCGTAGAGCCTTTGTCCTCTCACCTCAGATGCTGGGTGGGGTCAAGCCTCTAGATGAAATTACAACAGGCTGTGCCGGCCCAAGGTCTGACACACCTCAGTCCCCAGTCACAGCGAACCCAGGGAACAAGCCAGAAGGTAGGCGAGGCCTCCTGGCCCAACAGCACTTCAACCGCTGACAGGGCTTTCCCCAAGGGGCCCCTGGAGCCCACAACAAACCCAGGCAATGTGTGCACGAGCCCCCAGGCAGCGTGCTGCGTTTAGGGGCTCCATCACCGTGCGAGTATGCCCACTACTCACTGCTGACCAACAGCAGCAAGGCAAGCGCAGCAGTCAGGGCACAGCAGGAGCCTCCATCACAGGAAGCAGCCCAGTCCCGCCCACTCAGGATGCACCTGCACACCTGGCCAAAGAACACCGCCTGGCTCCCCTCACCACTCCTGTGTGCCAACAAACCACTCCATACCCTTCCTTCACTGGCTCCTCCTTCCCTGTCCACAATGCCTGCTGCCTCGGGGCAGCCAAAGCCCCCCTCCCTCCGAGCCTTCCACATTATTGCACGCCTTATCTCCCAGCTGGCACTCTTTTTGTCAACCTCATCCAGCAGAACCCACTTTTACCCACCTTGTGCCACCTACCATCTTTGTGTCCAACCTCCCTTCTTCAGAGACGGCTCCCACGCCAGGCCAGGCATTTGTTGGCTTTGCCACATGGCTGGAGAGACCAGAGCACAGCTGAGGTGGTCAATCCTACTGCCCTATCTGAGAGGCACCGGTCAGCTCCACCATGAAACCGCCCCAAACCCCCTGGTCACCTCACAGCCACTTTACAGGCAGGCAGATGCAGGGCCATGCCCCCAGGTCACACTGCTATTACCTAGTAGAGCTGGGCTTGAACCAGGCAACACCTTTCTGTAACTTTGTTTGCTTTTATTCTCACTGGCGGTAGCCCCACAGCTAATGTGATGCCCATACTGGGAACAAAAGTCTGCACTGGCCCAGTCCATGCAGGAATGCGTGATGCTGCTCAGCTGGGAGGCTTGCCACACACAGACGACTGTACCCTTCTCGTGCTCTCCTGACAGATCAGGAGCCTGGGAGGTCTCGCCCCGTGACCCAGGTGTGGCACCACAGATTGAGTATCAATATGCTGCCACCTTCCTTGTGCCCCATACTACCCCCACCTGCCCAGGTACATACGTCAGACCTAGGTGGTCCCAAAGCTAGACCTCGTTCACACCTAAGTTTCCCATGCCAGGCAGCCTTCTAAGTATGCCCTATGAGCTGTGAATTAACTTGGGTCAACTTCACCCTAATCAATCCCATTGCACTCTCCATTTTCAGATGAGAAAAGAACACAGCCCAGTGAGGAGCCCACGTAAGTACACACAATGTGCCCAGCAAGGTCCTGTGGGCACTTGGGACCTGAGCCAGACAGAAACCAGTGCTCCCTGGAAACACGGCTGGCTGGGGGGGGGGGGGGCTAGGGAGGATCCCTTGCTCTGGAGGAAACCCCAGAGTAGACCATTCCCACAGGGTCCCACAGCAGGCAGGACCACCTGCTCAGGATGAGCATCTCCTCCCAGTCCACCCGCAAGCAGGACCATGAGCGTCTCCTGTGGCTGCAACCTTCTCCTTCGCCTCAAGAACCACTGCTGTACTCGCCCCCCCGCTGCCAGCAGCGCAGGACAGGGATCAGAGCTGCCCAGTGGGAGTATGCACAAGGCCCTGCACATGTGCCACCTTCCCTATCTGGAGACTCCCACTCATCCTGCAAGGCTCCTCAAATGTGGGGTCTTCGGCAATTGGCCTTGTTCTGTGCAGCACTCAGCTCTACCCTCACTCCTGCAGCAGGCAGGGCAACCTTCTCTTGAAGCTCAAGCGCATCACCCACCAGATCCTCAGCCTTGGCATTGTGACAACCCGTCCCTGTGGGAAGGGGCTGGGCCTCGCAGGATGCTTGGCAACACCCCTGGCTTCTACTTGCTACACACCAGCAACGTGGAAACGTCTCTGAACACTTAAGTCCCTTCAGGAGCCCCTCCCCGGGAATCACTGACATCGATCTGGGTCCTCCAGCTAAGGGTAGGGCTCAGCAAGACAGGGTGAGGCAGGTGCAATTGGAACACTGATCCCGGGAGAGGGCCATGCCAACCGGGGGATGTGTTCATCCTCAAGCAGCTTCAGATACAGTACTGTTCATGACAGGTCTGAGCCTACCGGTTGGTCTGACCTTTCCATGGTTCCAGTGACCATCGTAGGATCACCCAAACCAGCCTCAGCACTAACCAGCTGTCCAAAGACCTCCCAGGTGCTTCCTGTTCTGCAGGGTTCTTCAACCACCCATCTTCCCAGCTGGCACTTGCTGATCCCTCCTGACTCGGCTCAAGATTCTCCTAGACAAAGGCCCAGTCAGAAGGCCTGAACTTTCAAGCAATGGATTTTTCATTTGTCTTTCAGCCAATCTTATTTCACTTCCTTCCAAGGCAGCAAACTGTGGGCAGGGCCACCATCCTTTGCACACGGAGAGCAGCAATGGATAGAGGATTTAGGCAGGTGTGCAAACCCTGTGCCTCCCCCCGACCCCCTGTTCAGCGCTCCTTCGTTACATGGCCCCTGGCAAGAGTCCTCCAGGCCCCAAAGTGCTCTCCACCACTGACAGCCAAGTCCCCCCACAGCGCATTCTCATCGGCGGTTCCCCCATTTCCCTTGATTGATCTCCTGAAGCTGAGCTTCACAGACCTTACTTTCCTCACTGCACACTGCAGTCCTGGAACCCTGGAATCCAGGAACTGGGCCTTTAGAACACCTGCCCACAAGCAGGTCGCTGGCTGCTTCCTGAAGCCCACTGAGGCCTCCGCAGGGGAGGGGCTCTGGATGTTTGCAGTCATAAGCAGGTTCCTTTGTCAGATGCCACAGATGGCAGAGGGGACCAGAAGGTACTATGCCCACAGGACAATGTAACCCAGAGGAGCCACCCCCACCCACATGCCTCCGCTCCTGGATTCACCAACTACCCCTCCTTCGTGAGCACCTTCCACACACGATGTGTACACACTGCTCACTGGAGCCTCGCTGGCTTCCTCGTCTCAGTGGCACCACATCCTTAATTGTGCTCAGAATTCCCTCTCCAAGGCGAGGAAGCAGGATGTGTTGAAAGAAACAAGAAAGAAAATCCCCTTTCCTATACGTTTTAAGAAGCGCATTATGCTGGGCTCGCACCGTAAGTCCACAAGGCAAGCAAGTAAGAGCGGCGGCTCCAGCGAGGGGCATCTACAAGGGAACTGCCCGGTCGTCTTAAAGCAGACTCCAGCAGCCTCAAGCAGGCCAGGCCGTGCTTACTCGCTTGCAGTAAAACATCATTGACCACCTTCACCTCCAAGACACAGGGTGGCTTCGGAGGTCCTTCAGTCACCAGATAACCCAGTGAGCACTGACTGTGCCAGGCTCTCCTTCTGAGTAGGAGGGCATAGTAGGTATGGTAGGCAGATCCTTACAGCCATTTGTAGGTCTGCATGCCAGCTGGCTTCCTATTTACAGACAGGGTAAGGGACAGGGAAGGCCACGGAGGGAAACCCCTCTGACCAGGGGCCATCGAAGCAGGAACCTAGAGGCTAGGGAACAAACCCCGCAGGTGTCCGAGGAAGACGCATCCCAGGAAAGGCAACAAAGACTGCAGGTCCTGGGGTGGAGCTTGAGGCAGAGTACAGGCCAGCATGCCTGGCACCCAGGGGGGTCAGCCCCGACAAGGACTCTGACTTTCACCAAGGTGGGAGGCTGCTGAAGACTCAGGGACAAGAGCACGAACGTGCTTTCCTGCTCTGGCTTTGCACAATCATTCTGGTGGGAGGTGTGGAAGCAGAGGATGCCCTGAGAATCAGAGCCTGGAGGACATTCCGACCGTGGCAGGAGCTGTGGAAGGATGAACATGGCACAGCAGACCAGCCCAAGGTCCTGGGCCTGCCCGATGGAGAAGACGTTTCCCTTTAGGGCAAAGGGCACCTAGGAACCCCAAATGTAGCTCAGGGTGTTAGTCAAGACTCAAGGCAGGCATGTCTGCTGTCATCCCCTCTTTCCTCCCCAGCCTAGATTCCAAATGCACCACTTTCCTTTCCATCCACTCAATGTTCATCAACATTCGCGTCTCCCCCTTCCCGGGAACACATGCTCTCAGAAAACCACCCCCTCCTCTGGCGACCACTGGCCCATCACTCTAACAGGAGGGGAAAGTGTCTGGCCTCACCTCCAGCGTCCCCCATCCCCTGGCTCTGTGGGGTGGGAAACCGGGGGGCGGTGTCCCAGGAGAGAAGGGCAAGCTCCTGGAATGCTCCAAGAACCCGGGGAGGAGTAGGCAGAAGGGGTTCACAGGTCCGTGGAGCCTCCCGCCAGCGGGCGCTCATCTGTACCCCCAAACAGCTTCTGCAGGGAACTGGCTCCCAGCATCGGCCTCCTTCCCGGGCTCGGCTTATGCTGCCACCATGAAGCCTGCTTGGCACCAGACTGGCAGTAGGTACCTCAGGGAGGTCGGCCTGGGGCTGGACAGGAATTGCGATACTGTGCCAGTGCCGCAGTGCGTTTGCCAATCGGCTAAGTGAATACCTCCTTGGGGCCGTCTTAATTTCAACCTTCTCAGAGTCAAGGCCCTCGCTCCAGACTTCCCTGGACTCACTTGTTAGGTCCTTGGAGAGGCTTCCCCAGCTGTCAGTGTGGCTGGATCGGCTTTCTAGGAATCTGCCTGACTAGCAAGTTGTTAGCACCTTCAAAGCAGATTCACAGCCACCCACCCCCTCACTGGAGGTGCCCGGGCAAACCCGGGCAGGGCAGACAGCACCACAGCCGCCTGTCTTCTAGCAGCCCAGCCAGCAGTACCTCTGACCAGAGGGGCCCTGCAGCTCTCCGGCAAGGACTGTCCACCCAGTCCTCCACTCTGTAGTCAGATCTGAGTCCCCTCCAGGGCTGGCTGAAGCGGATATCCCTTGCCGGCCTATCTCAGTCGCCCAGGGTGGCACCACTCCCACCCCCTGCCAGCAAGGCCCTGCTACACCTGCCGAGTAGGGGGCGGGGGAGGGCGCCTGAGGCACAGGCTTGCAGCAGGCCTGGGTCACACAGATAGTCACAGAGGAAAAGCAGACACTGGCAGGGATTTCCCACGAGCCGGCTCTAGCAGCATCTGCAGCCACAGCCCCAAGCGCCTGCAGAGCAGGATTCAGGGGATCTCCTGGCTCCTGTTTCCGACCTGCGGCTCAGCTCCGCCACTGCCGGGCTCTGCCCCACAGCCTCAGCATGGGGCGGAAGTGTCACCAAGGGTGCCAGGCGCCGCCAGGAACCTGGGCACGCCTTCAGCTCGTTCAGCGGCCGGCCAGCGGGATAATGGGGTGGGGATCACCTCGTTACCTCTCTCCACTGGGGAAGGAAACTGGCCCCACACCAGGCCACAACCACACCCCAAGACCAAGCGGGTCTGTCTGAACCCGTCCCACCCCGGCCCCAGCTCCCCCGACGGCGACCTGGGGAACTTGAGCCGTCTTCCAGGGCGTCTCCCCACCCCACTCCCCCGGGCGCGGCTGCAGAGCCTAGGGGCGTGGCGTCCGCACCCCAGGTGGGCTCGAGGGGGACCCCAGTTCCCGGTGGGGGCGGGGAGGGGGGGGACACTCACGTCGATGTTCCTCAGGATGACGCACTTGCCGTTGGTGTACAGAAAATTGTTGCCCTTGGGGTCGCCTCCCAGGATTTTGGAGACGCCCCGCTCCACCTGGGGGAGGCTGGCGAACACCTTCTCTGCGGAGACAAACGCGGCTCGTGAGGGGCTGCGCCTGCTCGGGGGCTCCAGGGGACGGCCGGGAAGGACGGCGGCGGCCCCGCACCGGGTCTCGCCGGTCACCTGTTGCCTCCGTCGGGAGGGGCGGCCGCCACTTCCTAAGAGCGCGACTTCCTGGTCGGCGCTCCGGCCCAAGCCCTCGGGGATGAGGTGCCACGGCGGGCGATCGCCAACTTCGGGACGCCCCCGGGCGCGGGCAGGTGGGGGTGGGTGGCCGCCCGGGACCCCGAGGGCCCGCAGCCCGGGACGCCCCCCGCGCCGCCCCCCGGGACCCCGAGGGCCGGGCGGCCGGCCACCGCCCGGGCGCGGAGAGGGGCGCCCACACCCAGAGCCCCGCCACTCACTGATCTCGTACGGCATCCTCGCCCACTTGTTCCCGCGCCGCGCTAGCCGAGAGCCTCCGGGGCCGGCCCGCGCCGCCGAGCACACCTCGCCCAAGCCGAGCCGGAGGACAGGGGCCGGAAGGCGGCGCTGGGCGGGCGTGCCGGGCGCCGAGGGGGCGGGCCCAGGCCGGGGCTCCCGGGCCGGCGGCTGGCTCCTGCCCTGGCGCGCGGCCGCGGCGGACGCCCCAGACCCGGAAGCGCGGCCCCGCGCGCGGCTCGCCCCCAGCTTTGACCATATATAGTCAAGCGCTCGGCTCAGCGGCGGCTGGCCCAGCGAGCCTGCGCGGACGCCGCGCCCCGCCCCCGCCCCGCCCGGCCCGCCCCGCCCCGGAGGTGACGTCGCCCGCCCGCCCCGCCGCGGTCCTGCTGAAAAGGCGGCGGGCTGCGGGTCTTCGCGTCAGAACGCTCCGGGAGCGGGCGGGCGCGGGTGTGCGGGCGCGAGGGGCAGGGCGGGCCGTGGGGGGGAGGGTTCCTGGTCCGGTGCTGCCAGTGTGAGCCAGCACTGAGCCGCTGTTGGGGTGAAGCGCCTCGGCTCGGGGTGAACGCTAGGGGATAGCTTTTTTTCAGTGAGCTTGCCTGAAGAGAAGTCGCTCTTTTCTAGAAGCAGAAACTTTAGAAATGTTCCTTACTGGAGTCTTGCCGGGTCTCTAACTTTGAGGAACAAAGCGAAAGGGGGTTCCCGGGTGCGGAGGAAGTCGGGGTGAGGGGGCGGTTGTTGCTCGAGAAAAGCGGGAGAAGCTGGCGCTTTCTCCGCTAAAGTGAGGGGTGGGCGCGCTGAGCAGCCCCGTGGGGGTGAGCGAAGGACTTGAACTCTGGGGGCCTGTGGCGAAGTGGCAGCGTGTAGGAACACGGGGCTTCGGGAATGTCTCCTAACGCAATCTTTAGGGGAGTAGCTACTGCTTTTTCTAGAACTTTGTAGAAATCTCTGCTACGTCCTCCGTGTCCGGGTTCTCGAGCGCGTTGCACCCCATTAACTCGGAGCTACCGTGCAGCCCCTGGGCTACCACAGGTGTTTCTATCAGGCTGCCTCGCCTTCTAGTTTTGAGAAAGCACCTGAGTGATCCTTGCTAAAGGGTAAAACCTGTTGCCCAGCCTGAAGCCGAGGGTGGTGGGGTGCCCGAAGCTTCGTGAGGAAAAGTCTCCAGGTGCCACGCCGCAGCTGCCACCCCTTGCTCTGGCCTGCCAGCCAGCCTTGGTGATGCAGGAATGCCTAGGTAGTGTGACTACCCTAGGGCTCCACATGGATTTAAACTTCACGGAGGTTTCTGGTTTAAAGCCTTCGGGGGCAGACAGCTCCTCTGCTGGGCTGTTCGCTAATAGGGCCAGGGAGCCATTGTCAGGCTCTCAGGAGCCTAACGCCTCCCCGCACTCAAACACAGGTGTCTCAGTCAAGTCAAATGGCCAGCTCTAAGTGGCAACTGTCCAGTCTCTGGAAACTCGCTTGGCGCGCGTGGGTGCTTAAGGGACTTCCCCAGTCTGTGCCTACAAAGCACTAACCCCTTTGTACCCATGATTCATGAGCTGAAGGGACCTAAAGCGAAAGCATCAGATGAGATGGCCAAAGCAGGAGATGAAGCAAGTGCTCTATGAAAAGGGGCTCTTCTGCTGAGAAACGAGGACTAAACAGACTTTAGATACACTACAGCTGGTGCGCAGCCCTTGTGGGGCCTCAGATAACGAGTGGTCGGAAAGCTAGCCAGGTTTGGACTTCTGTCAGTGTTGACCTGCTCAAAGTGAGGCAAAGCAAATACGGGCCACCTGTTCCCAGAGCCCTTGCAGGAGGCTGGGGGATCTGCTTTTATTAGCTCCAGAGGCAATTACATGCTGGGAGAAACCTCGGGAGTGTTGAGGCTCAGGCACAAATCCTCAAGACTGAAGTCTATCGGGCAGTTTGGCGGGAAGAGGGGGAAGGGATACCACAGGGAGTGTTCCTGAGTTGTTCACTGAGGGTGTCCTGTTGCCTGAAAAGTCGCTCTTCTAGAAGCAGAAACTTTAGGGCTCTTCCTTACTGGAGCCTTGCTTGGTCTCTGAGAAACAAAGCAAAAAAGGGTGGGTCTGCTGGGGTGCTCTACGGCCCTTAAGTGGCTGTAGCTGTGGATCCAGGCTACTTCTTGGCTTCCATAAACCGCACCACACCTAACTGCAAGCTCCCTTACTAGCTCATGGCTGTAGCTTCAGTCCAGCGACTTCTCTCCCACACTTTGGCAACTGCCTCCTGGTACCGGAGGTGCCTAACCACAGCCCAACAGTGCACCCCAGTTTTCCCAACGTAGGCTGCTCCCAGTGTACCCCTTTCAGAAACCCCATCCGTCCTGCACTCAGTGCCATATCATTAGCACCACCTGCCATTAGCTGCTTGACCTCACCTGGGCTATTCCCCTTCCTGACTGGCTTCTCAACAGACTTGCAGGAACCCTTGTTGCAGAGTTGAGCAGTCTTGAAGGCTTGGTTATTCTCCCTGGGTCCACCCAGGCCTTGCCTTTCAGCTAATCCCTTGGGTGATATCCCTCTAGGATACTAAGCTTGTCACTTCCAGGCCCTCCCTGTGACGCCCTAACTTAAGGCCGCTTTCTCAGACTCACTTTTGAGATGAGTGACATTCACTACTGGAAGTGTTGGGCAAAGTTGTGACCTGCAAATAGCGCGTTTGCTAATGCTTAGGACGGGGCCGCCAGGTCATCCGGAAGCCAATTCCATGAGGGCATGAGCAACAATGAGCATCACCTGAACTTGAGTATTAAGCTTTGTGCTAAAACAATATACCTGAGGCACCTCATTACTGAAGTTAACTTGGGGTAAACCAGCTCCACTTGAGTTGGGTAACACTTAATTGGCCCTCTGGTATGTTAAGCAATCCCTCCTGTTGCTTGTCTGGAGAAATGATTGCAAATCAGTTCTGCCAAAGCCAGCTGCTCGAGGGCAGCCTCCTGCATGGCTGCAGTGTGTGCCATTAGCGGTATTGCCTGAGTGGTTCCTGTGGCCTTGGCTCAAAGGCTCCAGACCTTTGGCTGCAGTGTGGAGATGGGCTTCGAGACCGAGCAGTCTAGCTCATTTTGGATCCAAGGGTACCTCAGTGAACAGGAGTGAAAGTGGAGTCAGCTGGGGTGAATTTACCCACGAGGCTAGCCACCTGTTGCAGTCTGGGTCAGGTCTGGGGCTGTCCTGGAAGAGAACATGCTTGAGGTCCCTGGTGCCGGTTTCCCCGTGTCTGACAGAGTGCACCTCCTCTGTGAACCTCTACAGCAGTGCTAAGTTCTGGGTTCCAAACTTCAAGATGTGTGAATCCCACTACCTTGAGTCTACAGCATCGCTCTTGAGGCCTCTCAAAGTACCCCCGTCTCCATTGCAGCCTGTCGGGCAAGTGGGCTTTTGCAAAAAACAAGTGGATCCCTCACACCTGTAACTAGCATTGTGCTGGCTCTCAAATTATGTGCAAGAGGCCTGTGTGTAAACGCCCATCTTGAAGCCGTCCTAGGTGTAATTCTGAACTAGCTAGAACGTGGTTCAGGATAGTGTCTTTCGTAAAGCTTTCACTGCTTATATAAGCTGTATTCTTTGGCAACCAAGCATGTTAACCTGATCTTGCTGTCGGTAATGGCTAGCCAGAGTTGACAAACATTTGGGAGGCTTGGGAACCAAGCCACATCCTTCAACTCTTCTCTCAGAGGGAACAGGGGCAGGGGCTGGGTGGTGGTCTGTGAAAGCAAACCCCACTGTCTGCCTTGGTATTGTAGAAAATTTGCTGCCTCTGAGACCCTGCACACTGTAGACTGGAGGCCAGGTGACAAGATCTAGATCCCCTCAGCTGCCACCCTCAGGCCTGCATCTTCAGGGACTCTGATGGCACCTTCAGCCCTGTGTGCCTTGCTGGCTTCCTTTAAACTTGGAGGAAAAAGGGACTCGGAGGCTGACTTAAGCTCAAGGTTGAACACTGCAGCCAGTATGCAGGCTCATGTGTTCCCTCCTTGGAGCTCAACACTGAGGCCTGCCACACCAGACCGGGACGTGCAGACCCATGCTGCCCATGTTGGACAGCTATCACTTCATCAGGGGTTGGAGACTGGTTGCTTTCCCTAGGCAGCTCTCACCCACTGAAAAGCACCATTTCTTCAAAGCAAATGAAGGCGTCTAGTCTGTCTCCTGGCTTAGACCAGAGATCCAAGCTTTCCTGGCATCTGGTTGCATGGTCAAATTCTTGGTTGACACTATGGGGGCGTCTGGCTGTCACAGTTGTGCTATGCCTATACAGTCGGGAGGTTCTTGCTCATCTGGCTGCCTATGTGGAGCCTTTGGTCCTGAGGGCTGTAGCTTTTGTGGAGTTCCTTTGTATAAGCCCTTCTCCCCTCTGCCTTTCCTGTAGTTCAAGGACTACTCCACATACCAGTTGACTGGCTTGCTAAAGTCTGCTCAACAGGAAGGACTTGATTCTTGTCCACCAGAGTGCAGGAGTGAGGCCTGAGAAATCCAGCTTATCCTGATGAGCAGGCTTGCTATCCATTTTTGTCAAACCTTCTGGATACTCTTCCTCCAGATCAAGTGGGCAGAGACTGCCTTGGTCCTTTTCCAGGGGATGAACCGGAAAGCAGACAATGCCATTGGGTTCATGTCTGTCTCCATACAGAGGAGCACTGGCGAACCAGATGCATGGGTTTCACTGTCTCAGAACAAGCTGGGATGTGGATAGGCTAATGGGCCCCTCTCTGGCTCCGGGCCTCTGCTTCCGGGAACAGGTGCTCTGAATACTTGCCCTGCAGTTAGGCAGATAGGCACTGCTCAGCCCACTTGCAGGGACCCAGTATGCTCCAGGTTTGTGTTGGCTGGGAAGTATCTGCTCATGTTCATTGCTGTGAGCAAAGCACACACTGGTTAGAAACCAATGGGTCCATAACTCCTTGTGGAACCCAGAAGTCTAATGCTGGGAAGGCTGAGACTGGCTGCTGTGAGGGAGAGTCTAGGCCATCTCTGGCTTCTGGAGCTCTGCTGGCCGTCCCTAGTGTTGCTTGGCTCGTAGCAGTGTCTCCTGGCCTTGCTCTGCCCTCACGTGTCTACTTCTTGAAGGAAATACCTCTTCTAGTTGACAGCATCTTTGAAAATCGCTGAAATCCTGAGTTGGAGGTTGAACACTTTGGAACATAATGAGGGGAAATCAACTGAGCCCTTAAC